TTTATGACAATGATACAATCTTAATGCACTGCACAGCACATCAGGATACTGTTGGACTCTGCTGGAGAAGCACAAGAGGCACAATCAACCCTGGCTGCATAAGCAGCTTATCAGAAATGGGACACGCCAGTTCTGTAACAGGCACTTAATACATGATATCCCATTCTTGGCCAAGCTATGTGCTCAGAAGTAAATCAATAGGGGTTTTCATATATTGACATTCATGAGCACATAGAAGTGTAGTATCAAAATATCAAAAGACATAAGTGTGCAATACATAACTTTCTGTTCTTTCTTCTCCACACTCGGTGAGTGAAAAAACCTTCTAAAGAGATAAAAAGAGGTGGCAATAAAGCAACTCACCATTTCAGCAGCCACTGAGTACCCTGAGCATCTTTACTAAACACTGTCACCAAGAAATCAAAATCTTTCCTTCTCCCCCCCTCTAACGAAGTATTCAAGACGTCCATACTGTTAGCTTAGCTTATTGACCAAGTTTTACTTGAAATAAATATATTTGCAGTACAATCTCATTAAAAAGCTTAAAAACTTAACCTGGGTTTATTTTTACACATTCAGCCAACTTAAGTTTAATTTAAAAGAAAACCCACAACATTTACACTTTAACAAAGACTTAACTATCAGAAACACAGCACACATTACTAACTTGTATTGTGATCTTCTATCAGAAAATACAGGTATATAAACCAACCCAATATATATTTACTTAAGCTGAGTAACACTGAATAGCAGAAAGGAAGAATGGTGAAAAATTCATTATTTCAAGTTACACACAAATTATGTTATAGCTCAGGTAATGTTCAAGATGCAGTCAATTAAGCCACTTTTAATTAAAAGTAAATGATAGCACTACAAGGTGCAAAATCTGAGTTCTATCTGTTCAATAATACCACATAGCAGAGGATGTATTTTCTTACTGAAGATGTAAGTGCAAGTCTTCAGCAGTATTTGTTTAGATCCATAAAGGATAGGCAAACTTTTACAAAGCAGAGAATCTGTTGCAGATCAGTGACAGTCAAAGAGATCTTTATCACTGAAAAAGGAGAAACTGCTGTTAAATGTTGCAGGAGAATAAAATGGCCTTATTTCAGTTTTGTCAGGCTCTCAAGTGTTTTAACATAAAATCCAGTAGAAGGTTTCCTTGTGTGACAGGAATCTTAAGGTAAACTAAAAAACACCCCAAGAGCCTGGTATTTTCAGGACAAAAAGAGCTAAGGAACACTCAGAAAATGCAAGCATTTCATATTTAAATAACTAGAATGTTTCAGATGACAAGTCTGACCTGGGAAAAAATTTGTTTTGTGCTGCTAGAGATTATTTTTTTAACCTTACTCAATGAAAGGATAATTAAAAATCCTTTACCATCAAAACTAAGTACAAGACAAAGGAGATACTCGTTTAAATTAAAAAACTTGAATGATAACTAAAGAGCATATGGACAAAGAGTTCTAGCCAGCATATGGAGATAGATCACGACTGTACAGAGCTAGTCAAAAGATAAGCTCAGTGAAAGAACAGAAGGACATGTACTTAAAGTACAAATGCAGTGACTCATAAGTATTTCTTAGAAGACAATCACCAGAATTCCAAGCAGGTAGCAAAAGCCTAAAAGAATATAATAAAATTAGACATATCCTGCCACGGAGATAGAGATTTTCAATGATTGAATATGAGGAAAAGGGAGAACAGAGGAACAAAGAGAAGTAACCTGTCAAAACCAGGAGAGAGCAAATCTAGATTTAAGGCTTACAGTGAAGAGTAAAAAACATACATAGCACCAGAGAGGGACAGGTGAGGTTTAGATCCTACAGTTACTACTCAGATCTTATACCAAACCCTTCTGTCAAAGAAGTCACTGACTAGCAAACTACGTACCATTGTGACTCTGGGACTCATCCCTTAATAAAAGCAGCCAAGGATTTACTCAGGCCAAAGAAAATACAGCTAAACATCTCACGACTGGCAGCTGGATCATGAACAACATGCTGGGAGACATCAGGCATAAAAACCAGTTCAAGCTCAGATCCCTGCTAGACATTATGGCAGGGACTGGGGAGCAAGAAGGACGCTGCACACTTGTACTTGATAAGCAAAACAGTGCTGGTTGTGTGCCTTTCTCTAACCGAGGCTATCAGGGAAACCTGTGCCCTCTCTAAAAGTCAAGCTGATGGCACTACATCCTCCAAGGCCAAGATCCTACAAACACATTATGCTGAAGATGCAAATAATCTGACAGAACTCAATGCACACATGAAGCACATTGGTCACCTCAGCAAATGGATGAATTTGTTTCTAAAGCAAGGGGACATCAGGCTACCTATCAACAGCATTTAGATGGTGGTTTGGTTTTTATTTTCCACTTTGTGCATGAATGTTTTTAAATAAAGTATTTTGGATTTTAAAAACACACAAACTGAGACACTAACAGCTGTATTGGTAAATTCCTGAAATATAAGCTCCACCACTTACAATGTACTTAGTGCATACATTTGAAGTCAGATCTGACAGACATCAGAATCCATAGTTAACATTCAGGTATCTTCCAAGTGTCCCAACAGTATTACTTGGGAAACCAAAAAGTCTAATGGTATATAATATCTATATTGTTTCACCCAAACAGTATTAGTGTCCTAAAAGCCCTAACCCAAATTAACCAATGGTTCTAAAGGAGGTTGTCAGGAAGGAGTAGGTGAAGCAATTCTTACGCTGTAGTGGGTGGAAAGTATCATCATTTTTTAAGACTGACTAAGAAACCCTTACTTACGAGGGCATTTATTTATCTACTTCTGCTACAGCAGCATTCATTTCACAAGGAGACTCTGCCTATGAATAGAAAAAGAGACAACTAAGTTTTGGCTAAGCCAATGCATTAATGTCATTTGTATAAGTTTCTAGTTAGTTTTTAATCTAAAAAGAAAAAAACTAACTTACAAATTTAAATGGATTACTGTAAAAATCCTTATGTGGGAGAAAATGTGCAAGAATTCTTTGATAACAGCAACACTGACAGTTAAAGAAATATAAAGAAAAAGCACCTAAAAGGAGCATCTTAGAAATTCCTTATGTTATCTGTGTTATCCAAGCCAAGTTAAAAGATGGTCAATCCTTGACCAAGAAAGCCTAGTACTCACTGTATCTGAACCCTCCAACACTGTCTGAAGAAACCCCAATGTATTTGTCTTTGTTCTTCTTTGCTTTCTTTCTCTCTTCCCGAAGTCGATCATCATCTTGAGCAAATTCAACCATTTCTTTTACCTTCTGGCGTATGTTTATACCCTGGTCTTTGCCATTTTCATCTGTATAGGTAAAGCAGGATAGAGACGATGCATAGAAGGGGGGCAGGAAAGAAAAAATTAATCAGAGGCAGTAATACTGAGCATCAAACTGATCAATCTGAATTACAGACACAGCAGTCAGAAAAAGATCTTATGGCTGTTAAGGTCCACTGCATGTGTTTAAAAGGGATGAAATATTTTGTTTCAACACAAATTTTCACCCTTAGAGAAATGAATTTTCACTGAATAGTGTATTTAGAACCATCTCTCTGCTGCTGAAACATATGAAAAGATTAACAAAAGATGGAGGCAGAAATTACGTTCTCCAATGGAAAAATTTTAACCCTTCCAAATACCACCCCTCTTCCTCAGTCTTTTTAGCACAGTTTTGCAAGTTTAACTGCAAGAACTCAGTTTTATTGTACAAGTGAATTCTTGAAAAATCGCTTTCCGTTGGGATGTACAAGCTAAACGTGCTCCTTTCCCAGCCTTTTTCACATTCAAAACACACACTGGCCTTGCTGCCTTTGCACTGTAAATATTATTTGGTGGGAGGAAAAAAAAAACCCAGCTTCAAACAGATGTGTGTGTTTTGGAGCTCTAACCTTTTCTTCCCATATGATTAAAGCTATTGCTTTACGGACACCACAGGGGACCAGTCTCTAGTGCATATTTTAATATAAACCCGAACACTCATGTTGTGTTGGTTCTGTTGTTATTAGCCAGTCTTTTCTGCAAGTTCTTGTCTTCACTAATTAATACTCTAGGGTCCCACGTCTTGGATTCTGCACTCTTCACACAACTGGCAACAGTCACATTCTAATTAGACTGGGGAAGCTTCTAAGCTGGTTCAGGTGACTGACAACTCCAACTACTGTTTTAATTTGCTTATAAGATTTTTCTATTGCTCACCTACAAAGTGGTAATTTTCCAGGGATCGCAAATCATAAATGTGTTCTCTGGCACTTGTAACAACACGCTCTGATCCATTCCTTATGAGGTAAGCTAGGAGCAGCAAGGACTATAAAAATACAAAGCACCTTATGATTGCATGAACAAAAGCTCTATCTCTTTTTAAAGGAAAAGAAAAAAAAGCTGCAATAGAAAACCAAACCTATCCCCCTCCCCAAATTAGTAAGTAATAAGACTTTCCACTTTTAAATAAAGACTTATTATACGGGTTCACACAGAAAAAAGACATTTTCCCCACATGCACCTTTTTCTCTTTAGAATATCAAAACTGTATTTGTCAAACTAATCTGTTGTTACTAAATTACAAGTAGTTACCTTCATCAGCTACTGCCCATTTTAAAATACAGCAGTAGCAACGTAAGAGAAAAAGTTAACCCTGGTAAATGAAGCATTTTCTTTTGCTTCTTTTGTACACAATACAAAAAACTGCACTTCAGGGCAATTTTAAGCAAGCAACAAAGTAAATGAAGTTTAAGTAGTATTTTAATTATAATTTTATGTTGAGGATTTCTATCTAGAAAAAGAAACTGCACATGCACTTTCTCCAAAGTAGTGCCTTTATCAGCTAAAACTATCATTATATTTCAACCTATCCAAACCTGATAAGCAATTCCAAGCAGTCTTTATAACATTAAGTAGCTATGTGTGGTAGCATTAAATATTAATTTATATCGTACTTCAGGGAAAACAATTACTATGAATACAAAACATCAAGCACCTGTGAAAAGCACAAGCCATGCCTTAGAATTAATTCTGTCTTGTTACAATCCTGGCATCAAGAAAAACAGAAATATAAGCTAGTCCAATACACCACATCTAAAAAACGAGGTTATATTTGCATAATTCAGTGAACACTGAATACCACTTTACATGTAGCATGATATAATCTTAAGCAAAAAGTTTCTCTACCATGTTAATTAGCCAAAGACAGGAAAAATGCAAATGATTCATTTCTTTTTCCAAACCACAAGTAGGACATAAAAACCTCCTATAAGATCTGCAAGAAAATTTGGTCCATTCAAAGCTAAACTACTATTTTCAGAGAATTATGAATTGAAATAAAATTAAGAATAGTTTCCATTTTATTTCAGGTATTCTTGAGTTCCTTCCAAAACATTTTCCCGATAGCACAATAACTTCTCATCTACTTCTCATGGAGCACTGTAACAACTCCTTTGGGTGGATTCAAAATGTGAATGCTACTCCAATACTTGAATATCAGCAAAATGTAATTGCTCTATTATGTTCACTGGATAGCAACTTAAGACACAATTGTAAACCCAGAATTTTGTTTCTTTCATGTACAGCATTAGAAAGACATCTTTTGACTTCAGTAACAGTTAGGAAAAGAAATTACAGGTTGCTAGTGGAGTGATATAGCAGTATCTAAACAAGACACTACATCAGCACATTATAGTAGCAACAAGCATTATGTGCTTCGAAGACCAACAGAAAGTCTTGAATATTTCCAGCTCATATACATACACACCTTATAAACTCTCCTCCAGTTCTTTTTATTGTCTTTCAGCATTCGAGTCCAAAGCATGTTCATAAGTTCTGGAAACTGTTCATACATAAACGTTGCCCTACAGAATTAAATAAAAGGAGTAAAGAAACTTTAGTCGCCATGGTTTGGCACCATGGCTTGTTAAGACTCAAGGCTGACAGTAGATGGCAGGCTTGATCTAAGCCCATTCACATTTAATGACATTCTAAAGGAAAAAGCTATCCCTCTTTCTTACTCATATAGAAGTAATTTACATACCAGCACTACAAAAGAAATAAGTAATTCTAAAAATCTGAGGCTGTAAAAGAACCTTCACTAATTTATAACGAAGGTAATGTTTAACATGAAATCCCTAATAACCACTGCAACTAGTCAAGCACGCAACTTCCAAACTCATTTTTAACAGAAAAAAAGTTCAAGGAAGAATTTGACATGTTTTCCTCTATTTAGGAAAGTCAAAAGAAAGCAGCTTGAAAATAAGCACCCCAAAAAAAAGTCAGATATATTGAAAGAATTATGAGGCTCTATAAATAAAAACAAGACCGTAAGATTTTCCTTCATTCTTGTTTGACAGTTTCCAATATATTATAAGATTATGTGTTAAGAAAGTAAGACTTGATTTACAGCAACTTTTCAGCATTGTCAGTCAGCATACCGCAGAGTTGATTTAGCAGCAAATGTCACATTCCTGTATAAAATGCACCTTTCTTTTCTTCATCACTGAACCAAATTATCACTTACTTGGCAATCTCTCCCATGAGTTGCCCTGAAGGTCCCCATGGATCATCATTGGTTGCTTCTCGAACCTTAGACTCTATTTCTGAATAATTCATAACCACATTGGTGCTGCAAAGGGGAAAAAAAAAATAAATCACACATGAAGATTAGCATCAAAACTGAGAAACACATGAAAACTTAATAATGACACTAGTGCCTATCTCACTTAATGAGATACCTCTACAGGGTGGGAAAGAAAACATCTTTAGTGCAGAAGTTACCCTGAGGACACTATACAACACATTTAAGTTGTCTTTAAGAAGGTTTTGCTATTCTATTAGTCTTCAAGAATACAGATGAGAAGCTAGGGATTACATTACAGCTGGATTTGGTCCAGTCAAAATGGCTTCTGGTCAAATTAAAATCCAGACCAAACTACTGGAATCAAAGCTGATAGCATCCCCATATATTTGCTTACAGGTTTCTATGGCGTACAGCTATTTGCAAGAGGCTTTACAACTCAATCAGAAGCAGATTTCTTTTTGTTAATGATGAGTGCTACAAGAGAAACTCAAGAATATCACTACCAGACTGAAGTAAGGGAGATGAGACTCACTAGAAAGTCTGTTTCCTAGCTGGAATTTATTTAATTAAGGGAAAACAGCAAAAGAAGAAAAGCTGCAGTGCACTCTGTTTCACCATTAAAGAAATGCAAATACTATACGGAGCTCAGACTCTCTATGAGAGTTTACAGAAAAACATCACTTGGAAAAAGGAAGCAATTTTTCCATATTGGTTATATTAAAATAGTCAGTATGTGATTATGTTTAAAAAAAAAAAAAATAAAATCTCTCAAACTGGTGACCTTCAACTACAAGCCCCTTCGTGGCCCTAAAATCACCCACATATGTTTGATAGCAATGATTTTCCTGATATTTTAATGTGAGGGAGCAGGCCCAAAACATCATTCATATAGAGAATGTTTGAAAAACAGCTCTACAGTTATGGAGCACTATAGCATTCAACAGGAATGAAAACATTACTATTACTAAAACGAAACCTAGTGGCCTCAGCTTT